CGGTCTTACATTCAGTGAAGTCTGTTTCTAGTATGATCAGCTAGACTCTCTTCTGGATGCTGTTGGCTCTTACTCTTTATGGACCAATCCATCAATCCAAGCTGCTGGAGTTTGTTTCAACCATTTTAAACTGTTTTGTGTATTCGAAATGGCCCATGACGGTCGAACATGGGTGGGTGCCCGTGTCTGGTTTGCGGACTGTCTCGTTGCGGCCTGTCCTCAGCAGAATGACCATGTCCGTTGAGTGTTTAAGTGTCGAGTGGAATGTTTCATGCGTTGCATTAATGTAGTGTTTTGGTATGTTTCAATAAAGTTGTCTTCTGGTTTGCACCTGCGTCCGGCCTAAACCATGTCTGGTACTGGCATGAGACTTGTCTGGTCTGGTCGTGTCTGCTCTTGATCTGGTCTGGCCTGCCTAAAGTATCTGACCAGTGTCCATCTTTTCTTCTGGTCGTGTCTGCTCTAGATCTGGTCTGGCCTGCTTAAAGTTTCTGACCAGTGTCCATGTCTGGTCTGGCCGTGTCTGCTCTTGATCTAGTCTGGCTTGCTTAAAGTTTCTGACCAGTGTCCATCATTTTTCTGGTCGTGTCTGCTCTTGGTCTGGTCTAGCCTGCCTAACGTTTCTGACCAGTGCCCGTGTCTGGTCTGGTCGTGTCTGCTCTTGATCTGGTCTTGGCTGCTTAAAGTATCTGACCAGTGTCCATGTCTGGTCTGGCCGTGTCTGCTCTTGATCTGGTCTTGGCTGCCTAAAGTATCTGACCAGTGTCCATGTCTGGTCTGGCCGTGTCTGCTCTTGATCTGGTCTTGGCTGCCTAAAGTATCTGACCAGTGTCCATGTCTGGTCTCTGGCTTGTGTCTGCTGCCTCTTGATCTGGTCTTGGCTGCCTAAAGTATCTGACCAGTGTCCATCTTTTCTTCTGGTCGTGTCTGCTCTTGATCTGGTCTGGCCTGCTAAAAGTATCTGACCAGTGTCCATGTCTGGTCTGGCCGTGTCTGCTCTTGATCTGGTCTTGGCTGCTAAAGTATCTGACCAGTGTCCATGTCTGGTCTGGCCGTGTCTGCTCTTGATCTGGTCTTGGCTGCTTTCAAAGTATCTGACCAGTGTCCATGTCTGGTCTGGCCGTGTCTGCTCTTGATCTGGTCTTGGCTGCCTAAAGTATCTGACCAGTGTCCATGTCTGGTCTGGCCGTGTCTGCTCTTGATCTGGTCTTGGCTGCCTAAAGTATCTGACCAGTGTCCATGTCTGGTCTGGCCGTGTCTGCTCTTGATCTGGTCTTGGCTGCCTAAAGTATCTGACCAGTGTCCATCTTTTCTTCTGGTCGTGTCTGCTCTTGATCTGGTCTGGCCTGCCTAAAGTATCTGACCAGTGTCCATGTCTGGTCTGGCCGTGTCTGCTCTTGATCTGGTCTTGGCTGCCTAAAGTATCTGACCAGTGTCCATGTCTGGTCTGGCCGTGTCTGCTCTTGATCTGGTCTTGACTGCCTAAAGTATCTGACCAGTGTCCATCTTTTCTTCTGGTCGTGTCTGCTCTTGATCTGGTCTTGGCTGCCTAAAGTATCTGACCAGTGTCCATCTTTTCTTCTGGTCGTGTCTGCTCTAGATCTGGTCTGGCCTGCTTAAAGTTTCTGACCAGTGTCCATGTCTGGTCTGGCCGTGTCTGCTCTTGATCTAGTCTGGCTTGCTTAAAGTTTCTGACCAGTGTCCATCATTTTTCTGGTCGTGTCTGCTCTTGGTCTGGTCTAGCCTGCCTAAAGTTTCTGACCAGTGCCCGTGTCTGGTCTGGTCGTGTCTGCTCTTGATCTGGTCTGGCTTGCTTACAGTTTCTGACCAGTGTCCATGTCTGGTCTGGTCGTGTCTGCTCTTGATCTGGTCTGGCCTGCCTAAAGTTTCTGACCAGTGCCCGTGTCTGGTCTGGCCGTGTCTGCTCGTGAGCTGGTCTGGCTTGCTTAAAGTTTCTGACCAGTGTCCATGTCTCCCCGGTCGTGTCTGCTCTTGATCTGGTATCACTAGGGCTTCGCAATATCTCACCTCTCCTAAACAGATGAGGAGCTTACCTATTTAATGTGTAAAGTGACTCTTAATCCTTTCTGGTCTTACATTATCGAATTAACCTTGTTATAATGGAATATCGATGTACCATTAGTATGAATTACCTTCACTTCCTGTGTTGACCGTCCGCGGTAGTTGTGAATGGTATGACTAGAGTAGGCGTGTAGGTTGACACGAAGACTGCATATCAGTGTTGACATTATTTTAGACGGTACACATTTACAGAAACAATTTGAAATTAATATCGAAACATGTTGCCAGTTTTACTGACTTTGAAGTACTGTGTTCACGCACCATCAATGTCACGTCGTCCCAACACAGCAGTAAGCCAGAGAAGTACGTACAGCAGCGTCTACGTTCCATTAAGTATATTTAGGTTTTCCTCCTGGGTCCGAAAATATAATCTGGCAAGGAAACAAAACTGTAATGAGGCAGGAATAAGACAGATTGTTATATTATAGATACCTCCTGGACGGTGGGATAAATGGATTGAAATGATAGAAAGTATAAACAACATGTGTGCATACGTCATACACGAGGTAGTCGGCATCTTCAATGCAAAATAATATATTTACCTTGTCAAACAATACGACATGCTGTGTGAAAAAATCAATATTAATTGTGGCGGTTTTGACACTGGAACGACATATTCTGTGTAATGTTTGTTGTAAAACGTGGATTAGGTTTTGCACGTTTTTTTGTACTATTTCTCATATACATTCATGCGCTACCAGTGCACAGAACCAGTACATGAAAATTGGACTTGATTTTGAGCGTAACTAGTTTGAGTTTGGTGATCAAAATACAAAATGTATTAATACGCTACACAGATCATATGGTGGTTGTCTAATAAACCCATCGTCTATACGAAAATTTACTGTCTTCTACTGTGTTAAAATCTTTACCACATGCTATTATATCTGAACTTTAATTTATTCAACCTTAACTATACGCTACTAACCTCGGCACTATCTCCAGGTTCACGTGGAACATATTATACTCCCCTGTACTGCTATTGATGTTAGATTACTTCAGATAAGAATTGAATATCACTTTGTGTGTTTGCACTGAAAAATGAACGATGTCAAAGCGTTGTTCAAACTCGTGTGAACAAACGAGTTTACGAGCGAGTTCACACGAGAGTTTGAATAACGCTTTGACATCGTTCATTTTTCAGTGCAAACACACAAAGTGACATTCAATTCATATAATTTCGCACTTTGATGTTTACACATACGTTTTTTACCCACTTCTACATGATCATTGCTTACAGTGACGTGTTTTAATACCTGTAAGTGTGAAGCCCATTTGTGGTGTCCCCCGCCGTGATGTTGCTGGAATATTGCTAAAAGCGGCGTAAAACCAAACTCAGTCGGTCAGTCAGTTTAATACCTGTAAAATGTTGTAATGTCATTCTGTTCAAGACCGAATTGCAGCGATGCTAGGCGATTTTTACACATGTATCCCGACCCTTGAAGAAATAGTTCTCAAAGTATTCCTTAAAATATTACAACAAATTCGTCAATAGGTTTGAAACTGCTTTAATAAGCATAACATCAATAAAATTATCAAACAGAAACAAATATCAATAACAATATCATTTTAACAAACTGTCATTGTACTTATAAAACTATGACGGATTCGTTTTGACCGCGTAATAACAGACTGAACGACTTCGAAGTTGTGCGGCGTGGCGAATAGGAAGCAGATCTCGTTGTTGTATTCTATTTGTTTGTAATTGTTTATTGTGAAATGTATTGAGCAGTTTTTAAACAGATCACGGGGCAGAAAACCGCAAACCGCGAGAGATTAAACTCTTGTGATAAGGAACAGTGCTCGGCAAATTGGAAATCCGTTTGGTAGTGAAGAAGTGACATTGCCAAAATTGGGGTGACTTGAAACAGGATCGCTCGCTAAATTGGCATCACCAAATGCAGCAAGATCATTGGGGTCCTTGAAACCGTAGCGGAAATTTGAAAATTAGGTCGCACTGGCTGGGACTTGTTGTCGGACGCGTTGTCAGTCAGATTTTGCAAAACTGTGTTTAGTTGGTGCCTTTTGTTATACACAAAAGCAAGTAAGTGATAAGTATAAATTAAAAGGAGTGCTAACTGGGCTTTTCAGGAGAAAGCTTGGGTTGATGGTGAGCTTAGTGCCATGTGGTTCCGGACTATTTTCTTGAAGAACTGTGGCCCTGAGAGACCACAGATCCTTATTGTGGACCAGCACCACAGCCACGAGGTGCTGGAGACATTGTTTCTTGCGAAACCGGAGGGGATCATTATACTCGCCATGCCCGCCCATAGCAGCCACTGGCTACAACCCCTCGACAAAGGGTGTTTTGGTCCTCTGACAAGAAAGTTCAATACAATTTGTATTGTTCATGTATTCTGTACAAATGTACAGAACGTCGTGACCAAAGCATCTTTTGCGCAGTTGTTTGCCAAGGCTTGGTCTGATTCTATGACTCCTAGTAACATTAAGCAATGGTTCAAAGTTACAGGAATATTCCCTTATAACCCATCAGCCATACCTCCCCGCGCTTTTAGACCATGTCTGTCCAATGATAAGTCCCGTCTGTCCGCACCGACAACTGAGCAGTCCCGTCTCTCTCCCTCTGTATCTTCAACCGCAGTTGCCTTGCCACTGACGACTCATCCGTCTAGTTTGTTTTCACTGACGACTGTCTGAAATGTCTCGTTTGTCTTCACTGACGACTGACCCGTCTAGTTTGTCTTCACTGACGACTGACCCGTCTAGTTTGTCTTCACTGACGACTGACCCGTCTAGTTTGTCTTCACTGACGACTGACCCGTCTAGTTTGTCTTCACTGACGACTGACCCGTCTAGTTTGTCTTCACTGAGTTTGTTTTCACTGACGACTGACCCGTCTAGTTTGTCTTCACTGACGACTGACCCGTCTAGTTTGTCTTCACTGACGACTGACCCATCTAGTTTGTCTTCACTGACGACTGACCATCTAGTTTGTCTAGTTTGTCTTCACTGACGACTGACCCGTCTAGTTTGTCTTCACTGACGACTGACCCTGACCCATCTAGTTTGTCTTCACTGACGACTGACCCATCTAGTTTGTCTTCACTGACGACTGACCCGTCTAGTTTGTCATCACTGACGACTGACCCATCTAGTTTGTCTTCACTGACGACTGACCCATCTAGTTTGTCTTCACTGACGACTGACCCATCTAGTTTGTCTTCACTGACGACTGACCCATCTAGTTTGTCTTCACTGACGACTGACCCGTCTAGTTTGTCATCACTGACGACTGACCCATCTAGTTTGTCTTCACTGACGACTGACCCGTCTAGTTTGTCATCACTGACGACTGACCCATCTAGTTTGTCTTCACTGACGACTGACCCATCTAGTTTGTCTTCATTGACGACTGACCCGTCTAGTTTGTCTTCACTGACGACTGACCCATCTAGTTTGTCTTCACTTACGACTGACCCATCTAGTTTGTCTTCACTGACGACTGACCCGTCTAGTTTGTCTTCACTGACGACTGACCCATCTAGTTTGTCTTCACTGACGACTGACCCGTCTAGTTTGTCTTCACTGACGACTGACCCATCTAGTTTGTCTTCACTGACGACTGACCCATCTAGTTTGTCTTCACTGACGACTGACCCATCTAGTTTGTCTTCACTGACGACTGACCCATCTAGTTTGTCTTCACTGACGACTGACCCATCTAGTTTGTCTTCACTGACGACTGACCCATCTAGTTTGTCTTCACTGACGACTGACCCGTCTAGTTTGTCTTCACTGACGACTGACCAGTTCCGTCTGTCTCCCTCGGCTGACGTATCAGCATCTTCATCTAAGGCTTCCTTGCCAGATGTGACTTCGACAAGTACAAGTAGTGCTACATTAGAGACATCTAACAAAGTAATTTTGGATGAAGGTGTTGTTACACCAGATGAGTTACAACCTGTCATTACTGATCCATCTGTAGTTGAGGCACTTTTAAGATCGATATCCGGGTCAGATGTCAAAATTATTGATATTCCTACTTCCGCAGCAATGAATGAACTGTTTACCGTATGGGACAACAATATTTCAAAACTGCGAAAGGAAACATCACCAAGGGGGCATCGATTTGTTGACGAGTGACGAATGTATTGCAAATAAAATCATTGAGAAGGAGAAAAAAGAACTTCGGGAGAGGGCAGGGGGGAAGGGAAAGGGTAAAGGGAAGCAAAGGAGCTCCTTGGCTCCAGCATGGGAGCAAATACGGTAATTTGACAACTTAGCTGACAACATTGTCCTCATGTTTTTCTCCGTCCATTGATGTGCGAGAGGAATGGATTTGTTTTCATTCTTGAGTTATTCCTGTTTTATATTTTTTAAGGTGTTTTTGCTACGTACGTAGGACAACCAATTTAGCTTGATATTTGATGTGATTTTTGAATTAAGAGTGTAGTAAAAATATCAGTTCACAGTACACTCTTTCTATTTCGTAGTGTTCAATCTGTGATAGACTATGAATGTGTTGAATCTGAAAAAGTGGAGTCAAGATTGTACTTATGCATGACGTGATGGAATTATTTGACTATCTGGGTGTTAAGATCTGTATAGCGGGATTATCATAATAAACAAGACAAATGTTTGTGGTAATCTTGGTGGTATAAGGTTTTTACATCACAATACATTTTACGAACAGTTGCCTTCCATAATAAATCGTCATGAAAATTACAGAAACGATATTCTATGGTCAATTCTCAATTGGAACTACAACTGGAGTACATGCTGTACATTTAACTTTGTTGTCTAACAGTTTCAATGAATTGTATGTTTACTAAACAACTACTGTCATATTTTATAAAAAATCTGCAACTGACCGAAATTACAGGATAAGTGACCGAATTCAACATGACAGGTGACCGAATTCAGAGGACTCAACTCATCTTGGTTTAGATTATTAAAACAGGTATCGTACGCGCTTCAACTAACAACCAATGACATCGTTCGTTACAAAAAATGTTGAAGTTTTGCCCACTGCCGTAAACCGTAACGATACACGGCACAATACAGACACATAGACTGGGAAACCTCCGGTAAAAATTCAGGACACTACTCTATGATGACACTGTGTACTGTATATATTGTGTGACTGCCCTGTGTGGTGATGTATTAGCCACAGTGTGTCAGAGATACAGGAGTCAGTCTCGTACAAACTGCTGTGTAACGTTGGTGACGTTGGAACACGTATCGTAACTGATACACTATACTATTTGTGTAATTATTGTATATTATTGTTGGTCTTGGCATATAGGTATTTCTATAACTCAGGTAAATGTGTTGTTACAATTGATTGTAAGCACTCTATTACTGTTTGATCACATGACAGTCATTCTGTGGCTGCCTAATAAACTCAACGTTTGTATGTGTCATTAAAGCACAAACCAGTGAGATATCGGAAGACAGTGATACCGGGAGATAGCAGAGATGCTGAGGCGGCTGAAACATATTCTCAAGTCAGATTCTATTGATCCACATGTGGCATACCCCAGCTGTAGCCCAGATAGCCGACACAGGATTTGTAACTTTTCCGGAAACAGATATAACAAAATCTTTAGAGGAATACAAGATAATTCAATTATTGTCTTCTTGCTGGAGATGCATGGTCAACAGTGGCAGGTCACGTGGAGGGCCCGAGTCATGATCAGCCAGTCATAATCAATGAACAACATTGCTCTGGCGACGCAGGATGTGTCTACGTAGACATCTCTGCAATACGATGGCGTTTGTATGAACACGGAAGACCTGTCGATGAAACCAGACAGAATTAGGCCAATTTAGATGAAGTTAATCTGTCGCAAATCTGTTTTGGACCATGCTTAATTTAGTGATGTTTGCCTGCCAACCGCAAAACAAACAGCATCCATGGTGTGATCACAAATTGCACATAATTTCGCTTTGTGGACAGACGTGGGTAGAGGCCATTGGCAATTGGTTCTTAACACTTTTTGGACTTAATCGTTTCAGGGTTATATTTGGATTTAATGAACATCATTTGCTGTACTATAAACAGAACAGTGACATGTATGACTGTCGTAACGAAACAAAGTAGACAAAAATGTAAAGGACATTTGAGGTGAAACACCAGGAACATACACCAATGTCAGGCAGTCAAAGTAAGTCATTTATGTGGCAAGAATACTACTGAAGAGAGCAAACTCCCAAACACACCACTGTGACAGTCATGAAGCACGTGATGGTATGCCAAATTTACTATTGTCACCCAGATTCCATCATGAACTGACGTCTGTTGTTGTTTGGAAGCCAAACGCTAAAAGACACTTCATGAAATCCATTTAATCATCAAGGAATTAGAAGTAACAGTATAAATCATGCGACGTGTGCAGGTGCTGCAAGGTCACGTGCCATAGGTATGCTGTAGTGAGCACACGTCTGAATATTGTTGCCCAAACATTGCTCGATCTGTCATCAGCAGATTATGGGTCTGCCACCAGCAAATTATAGACGCCGTTCTGAACGCCCATGGGCAACAACTCCAGTCAAGGACAGATAAGTCAATGGCATTATGAAATCGGTTACAAACTGTCATGCAGTAAAAGAAGAGATTGTAACATGAAACTAGTACCCTGAAAGATGGCATTTACGTTGACGATGTCTACGTGTCATCGTCCGACTGCACGTGATTTGGATCAGAGATACCAGTGATGCAGCCAGCGCTGGGATAATCGACGCTGGGATAATCTCAATATTTTCTTAAGAATCGACACTGTCAACTTCAACCACCAAAGGAATCGACTATGGAAACGTCCTAATGAGGGTTCTATGAACGTTCACAGCATGTTCGTTTAGAGGGTGGATCCACAGGCTGGTGCCACAATCACCCGCCGTGCTCCATATTGTCCCGCCCTGCTCCATAAAGTCCATGGCAATGTAACTGGGCCAATTAGACCATTAGGACAGCACCGTTGCACCACTCATGGTCTCATCGTTCAATTCAATGGCCAGCACTCAGCCATGACCATTCCCCACTGACCACATCTAGGACATAACTGATAAAAGTAAACGTAAAGATACACATATGATTCTGAATGAACTTATTGCTGCTCTCTGAAATGTGAGGAACAATATGAGTGATGATGGTGTTAGTAAATTCAGAAGCACGCTTCGTCAAGATCGCGCGTGGGTGGCTAATACAGCTGGTTTTACAAGATAATAGTGCTGTTGGCTGGAAAATGCAAAATTCGCATTTGACACCCGACAACTTCAACAATCTCATCACGCTAAGCAAAATGACCCAAAACTTGATGTTGTCATTTTGATCAGAATTGCCTTTTGACATATTTTTGACAGTCGGATAAGAGATATTAGAAACCAGAATAATATGCGTCGCATTTTTAACTAACTAAGACCCCTTTTCGAAATAATCTAAGATATATGGTGTATAGGTAATTGCGAGCTACGAAAAACAATAGTTGTGGTCGTTGAATTAAAATGGTGAAATATCAATTTGAAATTTCCCACTGAAGATGTTATCTATCAATCTCATTTAAAACTGAGTTTTAATTTGTTCTAAACTAAAAACAGAAACATTGTATTGACTAGTGATAGTATATATATCCGAGTATAACATGTCAAAAGACTTAGGAGATAGGAAATCACCAAGACATATTATGTTTCAGATTCATCAAGCCATGCGATGACCCCGCAGGCGCTCAACATTCACCTGTACTTTGAAAGAGGTATACCACTGTGTTCAATGAACCCATCCTGAATTATGGCTGTACTTCGCCGTCGCCATTGTCTGACATCGGGGAGTCTTCATGTTTGGCACCTCTCAGTTGTATGACTTTACGAAATTCGACACCAGAACGTAACAGATACGTAACTGCTTTGGCCGTGACACAGTGGAAGATTACCAGCCGCATACATGTAGCATGATTACCATGATGTGTCTGTCATCCCAATGTCTGGGCTAAACTTGAAAGAACTCAAGGGCAAGAACTACATGTGAAGTCACGGTGTCCTTCGACTCCCCGACTGCCTAATCCTAAAGTTTGATCCAGCCAAACCTTCTCCCAGTGGCTTAGTAGATTATCTACTGATTTATATTCCTTTATTTTCACCAAATGCTCCTCCAAAATTGTAGAATGCTATTTTGATATGCCAAACCCTAATTTTTCAGAAATTTTAAGCATCCGCAGAAGGCATTGTTTGCCCGAACAAACGTTTGGTCCTGCAACATGTCGAATGGAATACTCAAATAGAGATATGCCACGGATATGTGATGAATATCGGTCATCCAAAAGTTTGAGAACAATATACTATCGTCAACATATTCCTTCCAGTATTATAACGGATAATCATCTGTGTGTAGAATATCGATGTATTCATGCACACGATGTTGTTTTTTGGGTCGAAAAGGCTTAATCTATGGGTATTGAATGGGAATTGGATCTTATCATTTTAACCAGTTAGAATGTGATGGTAGAGTAGTCAGTGGTGAATGGCAGATACTTTGTCGATACTATCTGAGAGATATTTGTGTATAAAATGAAAGTGCGAAAGCATGGGTGCTGTTATTCCAAAGGGTAGAAAATGGCACCACCAGGGTCGCTGTAAATACAAAACGGAAATTAACCTGACTAGATTCCGTGAACACAAACTTAATGAAATGCTATTGAAAATAGTTTTTGTGTTGCAGCCCTATTCAATAGCTGTTAATAATATTTGGGAGATTGAAGAAAAGTTCATTCAAATTCGATCCTAATAATTTCTGAAACATTTTTTTATGTGGCGTTCACATTTTCTCGGAGTCAGATGTCCTGGCGGCAAGAAGGAGAAACGTGGTTGGGAGGAATGATATTCAACAAAATGAACTCATTTATATCGATTGTTTTCTCAAGGCAGTTGAAAAGTTTCAAGAAGTAAACTCATTTCATATGACACGGAAAAACTG